AGAGTACGAAATGTTCCGGATGAAAGAAGGTGAGAAAATTGATGACATGTTCGACCGGTTCTCAAAGATAATCAACGATCTTCATGCCCTCAAAAAGACCTACACCAACAAGGATCTTGTGAGGAAAATCCTGCGGAGTCTCACACCCGAATGGAGGTCAAAAGCCGATGCAATCTACGAATCCATCGGAGTCTCCAACATCACCATCGACGGGCTAAGAGGTAATCTTAAAACCTATGAATCTACTATTCTAACCCCGTCTTTGGATGAACAAAAGAAAAAGGGGATAGCTCTCAAAGCCACCAAGGAGCCGGCTTCAAGCGATGACGACAATGAATTCGGGCTCGTCATCAAGAAGTTTCACAAGTTCATGAAGAAGGAATTTGAGCGGAAGGGAAGGAAGCACGACGGTCCTCCCAAGTGCTACGGCTGTGGCGAGATTGGCCACATCAAGCCAAGGTGTCCAAAGGCCAAACACGGCAAGGACAAATCTGGCTTCAAGAAGCAAAGGGCCTACATCTCTTGGGGTGGCGATTCTGGCGACGAATCAACCGACCAAGAGGAGGACGAAGCTGCAAATCTCTGCCTCATGGCACACGAAGATCAAAGCAACGACGTCCAAGAGGTATGTAACATTTCTTCCGACTCTTATACTTTTGAAGAAATGCAAGAAGCACTTCATGAACTCTATGAGGAATTTGTGAGCGCTTCTAAAACAAATAAATCTTTGAAGAAACGACTTTCTCTACTTGAAAACGATTTTGAAAGATTGGAAAAAGAAAATGAAACACTTAAACAAGAAAACAAGTTTTTCGGAAAAAGAAGCGCTGGCAAACCAGAAAGCTCATCAAGTGAATGTGGGTCTTGCAAAGCTTTAAAAGAGCAAGTCGCTAAACTTGAGAGCACGGTCAAGAAATTTAATACTCCTCATAAAGACTTAAATTTACTTCTTGACACTATGCATTTTTCTAAGGAAGGAATAGGTTTTGATAAAAATAAAGCTAAAGATAATGTTGAGCCACCACCTAGACAATCATCTAAGG